TTGCAGTGAAATGATTCTATGCCAGATTTCTGAGTTAGCTTAGAAAATATGCTGAAGGCTCCCGATTAATTATCAAAGGAAAGCCTCAAAATATGTTTATATATAAATGTGACTTCATGAAGAGAGGAGTGAGTAAGAGACTTCATAAAGTCTAAGGCTGCACAGATAAAGCTTATTCAAATTGTAGTTGGACTTTCCCTTACACTAGCATCTTTACTGAAACATATATGCCATCATTCCTGCCTCTCCTATTCTCCCTTTTTCTCACCTTCCCTCTCATGCATGCATTTATTTAAATTAAGACATATGCATGAAAACTGCTTGGCTTTAAACCTGATTTAGGCCACATTTCCTTCAGGCATACACTTTCTTGGAATGCATTTGGACTCTCAAATCAAACCCATTAAAGAATGAGTATTAACCCAATCACCACAGATTTATGTAATGTCCCTTGTAGTTTCTTGTGAATTTTGTTACAAAAAGATGTCTCCAGAGTGTTCAGCCAGCAAGGAGTCAATCAGTAGGCCCTAGTGACCAATCCTGATTTCCTCATTCCTTGAATTGGTGGGAAAATGTGTTTTTGATTCTAATGCTATTGCTATTGATACTGATATTATTCTTATTGATATGATGATTATTAATTTGTTATTAAAACCTTGGTAATATTAATGACAATGAAATAATACAAAAGACATTTTCCAAAAATCCCCCCCAAAAAAGGTAAACAGGTGAGATAAGTAGGACTATAACTGATTCTTTGGTGACTAAGCACTTGTAGAGCCATCTATGTGTAAATACAATAAACTTTAATTACAGTGGGCATGGCATGTATTCTTGCCATCTGTGCTGATTGGATTAATATACTCATAGAGATATTATCATTCAAAAATAAGCACTAGGATTAGTGTTTTTAAATTGATATGCACAGCGATGGACATGGCCAGATAAGAATAGACGTACATGAAAATAGATGCATCAAAAGAGCCAGACATTCTTATATAGCTATGGATACTCATTGGTGAAAATATGGTGCATGCATCTGCTATATAATACAAAAAGAAGCATAGCAAAAAGCACAGTTCAGTGCACACAAATATGTTGTCAAAAAGAAGGGAATGAAAATAAGAGGGAAAGAAAAAAGAAAAACTTATTGTTAATTTATGAGGAAACTTATCTTCACCTTTTAGAATCTTTGTGGATTGGTCTACTGTTTGTTACAAGTATTTTTAATCATAAATTTTATCTCTTTTTTTTATCAGAGTCGCCATCAAAAACAGGAAACAAAACCAGCCAAAGTGGAACCAGAGAAGCCTCCTGTAAGTTTTTGAATTATAATGTTATTTTTTTGTTGTTGTTTTTTTGGTAAAGATTTACATTTAAGTGTTCGTGGTCAGCTTGCACAGGGTTCAGGTGTTGGATGGTGAATTGATCTCTCTTTTGTTTGCTGTTATTGTAGGAAAGCTTTGATTTACTTTTTCCCATTAGGTTTGGGAATCTTTAGGAGTTTTTTTTTTTTTCTTTTCTTTTTTCTTTCTTTTTTATAATTGATTTCATAATTCCAATTCCCAAGAAGAACAGATCTATCTTCTTGATAAAAAGGACAATAGCATACTTGTTTTATTTGTAGATAGTGAGGATTCTCTCACATAATCTTACTTTAGAGAGTCCAGTCATTATGAATTGAGACAGGAATATATTTTGATTTTAAATGTATTGATAACTTTGCTTAGCATTCTGTACTTTTTTATGCTGATTTAGATAGATTCATACATTCAAAGGCTAAACTCGGAATAATAGAATAGTTTATCCTCTGGATGTGTTTATGAGTGTATATTGGAAATGCACCAAAAGGTACCATGTTGGTGGAGGCACTAACTTCCAATCTTTTGCCCCCCCCCCCTCCACCCCTGATGCCCCTCCTCTCACCACTGTAGGTCAAGCCAGCAGAGGACCTAAGTATATCCAGGGAACGACGCACTGAATTCCTTCGCAGTTACAAGATAAAGAAAAAGACCCAGAATAAGGAAGAAGTGCAGGTCCTTGTCTTTTTGTTATGTTGAGTAGCAACTTGGTCTTCCTAGCTATTGGTTTATATGCATTTGTGTTAATAGACAGTGTGAGAGGATGGGCTTTCTTGTTTTATTATTTAGCTATTATTTTCCCAAGATTTTTTTCATGCTATGGCTTCCCAGTTTTGATTAGGGTAAAATAGAATTTAACCCATTAATGCCAGGGTGTCTGTGCACTATTGTTTACACATATATGGCTCTAGAAGCACTTAGTCACCAAGATTTTAATTTCTAGTTGTACTTGACCTCATCTTTTTACCCATTCTTTTAATTATGATAGCAAAAAAAAATCAATCATCAGTCATCAATCTTATGATACTTGTGAAATTTTTTATTATTATTATTATTATTATGATATTTGTTGTTATTATTATTATTATTATTATTGTTATTATTATTAATTATTGTTGGTTTTGTTAGTATTGTTATCA